TTTTTTTTTTTTTTTTTTTTTTTTTTTGTACCAGGGATCAAACTCAGGACCTTGAGCTTGCAAGGCAGGCAGCAGAACCACTGAGCTAAATCCCTAGCCCTCAGCATGGTTGTTTTTAACTTGTCTTTTCTTCTGTGGGCGTGGGTACCAGCGATTGAACTCAGGACTTTGTGTTTGTGAGACAGGTGCTAAATCCCTGGCCTATCTTCCTGTAGTCTTGCTGACAATGTAAGGGCTTTTTCTCCTCAGTTTTGAAGCAGTCCTTGGTCATTGTATCATTTCATTTGCAAATATTTCCATATGTATCTTTAAAACATAATGCTGTAGAAGAAGCACAATGCTATTCCACCTTAAAAAGGAGAGTGATCCCTGTGTCTGGCGAGTAGCCCATCCCTGATGATATATGCCCACCTGTGCTCAGCTCAGAGTGGCTGGCGTTGCCCAGCTCAGTCCCAACACTGCATGTGGCCTCTGTGTCCAGTTGTCCCTCAGAACATGCCAGGAGGCCCTGCCCAATCTGACAGGGACAGGGACAGAAGTTGGCCCACACATCCTGTGTGTAGAAACCGATAGTGGTGCTCTTGTTATGTGTCCACACAAACACCAAATTCTTTGAGCTCAACTCTTCTCTCTCTGAGGAAAAGCATTCATCTTTGTTATGAGATGTTTTCAACATGCACCATTTGTCACTTTTTCCTCCTGATCTGAGTTGGTCGTTTTCAGGCATGACACGTGCTTGTAGCTTAAGCTGCACATTCTGTAGGTCCCTGTCACACTTGCCAGCACTCACATGGGGATGAGGGGTCGTGGGCAGGGTCCTCTGCTGGTGCCGTTTGGCTTAAGCTGAAGAAGGAGCTATGCTTTTTGATGAAAAGGCGGGTACCTTACCTGCTCATTCGAATGCTGGTTAAGTGGTTGGACGGGGCCTTTCTAATCCGAAATTCCAGTCTCTACCAGCTTAAACCTATACTTCCCTTTCCCCCACAGCATGGGACCAGTGTTATGATACATACCTGTAATCCCAACACTCTAGGAGGCTGAGGCAGGAGGATTACAAATTTGAGCTCAGCCTGGGCAATTTAGTGACTTAGCAAGACCCTGTCCCAAAATAACAAAGAAAGGGCTTGGGGGTGTGCAGAGGCCTTCGTTCAACCCTAGTATTATAAAAAAAAGAAAAAGCTAGGGAGGGGTGGAGAGATGTCAGGAGGAGCATAGAAAGCTGAGGTGGTGTGGGGTGCCATGGTGACTGTGCGGTATCCCAGGCCTAAGTTGTTTCTGTGTGTCGGGATGGGTCCTCAGGCTGTCAGGCCTTCCCTGGCAGGAGAGGGCGGTGGTCCCACAGGCTGGGCCGGGGCCCAGGAGAGGGCTGCGCTGGTCAGGAGGACCAGCCTAATTTCACACGGGGAGACACATGTTTCATATTTGGAGGAGAATTTGTAGCTGTATAGCCGAAGCTTAGGCCAAAGAAAGAAAGAGTTAAATTTGTGGGGAAACAAAAATGCAAGAAATCCTCCTCCATCCAGCTGTGGTTTTATTTGCAAATGCTTTTAACGCCAGTCCTTGAGATGTATCCTGGTGACTTCACTTGCAGTTGGGGCACATGGGAGGTGGCAGGGACTGTGTGGGGACAGGAGGGGCTGTTTGGGTGCCTGTGACTCCCTGTGGGCTGTGGCTACTGTCTGCCATGTCACTGTGGCTACTGTCTGCCATGTCACTGTGGCTGGCCTGAGAAGAGTTGGGGAGGTGCAGGGAAGCACCTTGTGGTCGGGCGGAGCCCTGGCTTGCCACAGTGTCTACCTCCTCAGCACACGACTGCATTCGGCTCAGAGGCGGTGTAGATGCCACATCATCGCTGCAGGTCTGGAGACAAGTCTCAGAGGGGGCAGCCAGCTGTTCCCAGAGCAGGCGCTTCTGTCAGCGGGAGGCTCCCTCTTCTCCATTTCTCCAGTCCCAGCCTGGTGAGGGTCAGGGCTGGAGGGTGGTGGCCCTGCCACAGGCTGCAGTTAGGAGAGGGGCTATGTTCACAGGAAGCTGTTCTCCTGTCTGAACTTTGCGTTGCCCTCCACCCTGCCATGTACAGCACTTGTATGGGTCAGTGCTTACTAGAGTCAGAGGAAGAAGAGGGCAAACATTTGTTTGCACATGGGAGACCCGAAGCATCCAGCCAAGGGCTTGGAGCCCACAGCAATGTCCTGTGCAGGTCTCAAGGATCTGCATCAGAAAGGCCCAACGACCAGTGGTGGAATCTAGAAAGTCTATGCCGGCGGGGTGAAGGATCTGCACGAGAAGGCTGAGAGATGTTCCCTGGAAGCCAGGAGATGATGCTCAAGATACAGATGAGGATTGGAGCGCTCCTGAAGGAAGACAGCAGCCAACTCTCCTTTGAAGAAAAACTGCCGAAAAGCAGCTTCTTCAGGAAAATCAGCAGCATGCCCTCTTCCCCTACCGTTTTATGTCATTCCAGCAACAACCCTTAGGTGGATCTTCCACACCCAGAACTGTGCTGACTCAGTTCAGCTGGGTGTTCCCACTTAAGTTGACCAATAATTAATCGACCACAACAGTGTCACAAGCAGTAAGTAAGAGACACAAAACACAAAAGCCAAGTCCATATACTGGGTGTAGACAGAGTCAGTCACTTCAGGGGGCAGCACCGATTATACATGGCAGGTGTCACAGTGGGAGAGCAAGGCCAAGGCCTGCCGGGGAAAATGCTGTGTGCTCAGCCACACCGGCCTCCCACGTGCCTGCCCTGACAGCTAACAAGGTGCTCTGGAAGTACTTCTGGGTTCTGTGCTTGCTACGGAACTGTCTAAGAAGGTGATATCCTTCTCTGTCTGCATTTTCTTGACTTGAGAAATAGAACACATTTAATCATTGTACTGTCAGCTTTGTGTCACTAGGACAAAACTCCTAATGCTCACAATGTGTGGGGAGTGGGGATATAATCTGGCTCATGGTTTTGAAGGGTTCAGTCCATGGTTGGCTGGCTCCAAGGGAGGAGCATCATGGTCGAAGGATGTGTCAAAGGACAGCACTCACTTCGTAGCAGCCAAGCGGGGAGAAAGAAAGCCAGGTTTGCCCTCAAAGGCCTCATGATCCATCTCCTCCTGCCCTGCTTCCTAGAAGCATACTCAGCCAGGAACTTCTCAGTGGGTTAGTCTTAGATGTGAGCACAGAACACAGGAGACTTAGGGGATTGTGGAAGTCATCTTCCTTGCCCACCTCCCTGGCCTGTTCTCTCTGGTACCTGAGTCAAAGCTTCCTACCTCTGCCTGTGTCCCATCTCTTCCTGAAAAGCATTACTTAGCTGCTCCTTGCCCTCTCGTGCATGTGAGATCATTGTGATCAGCATGTGTTCCTGAGACAGACCCTGGCTTCTGCGTGCTCGCTGGTATGGGCGCAGGTGGCTTCCTGTGTACCTGTCAGTATGTGTCATGTGGCGAGGTGCCATGGAAGGAACTCTCAGCCCCCAAGCTGGTTGGGGAGAACTTCAAACTTTGCTTCTATCCTCAGCTTCCTCACCCTGCCCAGAACCTTCTGTGTGCTTCTTGCCACCCACACCTACCCTCATTCAGGGCCCATGGGACAGTGGCTCTCGGAGGGTAGAAGGTTCACAATGCTCTTCTTACATCAGCATTGATTCCAGTCCAGAAATCAGTGCTAAGAAGCCAAGCCACATATCACAGTTATATGTTGAGCATTACAATCCAAAAACCCTCCTCTTTCTGAGCACCATGTGACTCCACCAAAGAATGTCCAGCACCTGGCCATGTGGGATGATTGCCGTGAAAATGCAGGCAGGAAAGACACTGTATCCAGCCTCTTCAGCTGTGTGTGCAGGGTGCAGGAACAGAGGTGAATATCCTGCATACACCCAGGTGCCCCCAGACCACTTCCCTGTTGTCACCTCTCCAGAATCGTAAGCCCTACCGTCCTGTGCACTTTGGATGGAGGCTCAGCATATGCTTTCACTGTGATTTGCTTGACAGTGCTTGGCCTGTGACGTCTCAGTGGTTACCCTAGAAGTGCCCCTGGGGTCTGGCGACACACCCCACACCCATCTCCGCCCATGTACACCCCTGCCGTGCAGGGGCCACCTCTTCGGAGGAGCCACTTGTGCTCTCAGTCTGTGCCCCACACCCCGCCCTGCCCTGCCGACTCAGTCACACCTGCGCCCGTGAGGATGCCGCCCCTGGTCTATCATTTCTCTCGCTGGACCAAGGGCCCACACCAGCATGGAGATGGCACTGCTGTGAGGCTTCAGGCCTGGACTGCATCTCCGCTCTGACGTGGAGAGGTAGCCATCACCTGAGAGCATCATGTCTCAGGAGCAGACATGGGATAGTTCTGCTGCCCTGATGTCTGGCTCATTTTCCTGCCCAGCAATAGCATATGCGGGTCTCCTGCCCCACATCCTCGCCAGCAACACAGAGCCACCTGTGTCCAGAAGCCCACTCCCAGCGTTACCCACAGGAGAGGAAGTCGGGAGTGCGGAAGGGACACCTGCACTCTCGTG